GCTGCAGCTCACCTGGGAGACTTCGTTCAACTGCGCAAAAGCGAGTGCCAACCTTGTTTTAATTCAATGCCCACTGTCGAAGATGTACCGTCTCATATGTCGTATGCAAAAGACCGTCCAGACGTTGACAACTTGGGGTCGTTAAACACTTCGGTTTCGCAGGCTGAAGCTACGAGATTTGGTTGTGGGACAGACGCAGTCCGGCAGGTGACGCTGAAGAGCGAGAGCGGCGGTTTCTTGCAGCTGAAGGTCCTGAGCATGACGCGGGTTACAATGAAGTCGAGCAAGTGCGGCTCTGTGGTGAAGCTCCACACCCAGGACCCGTGATATATGAGCAAGTTTAGACTGTAGACAACTTGTCTCTGAAGGAAGATTAAGGATTGGTTCACCGCCGTTGGCGGTACAGCTCCCACTATGTGTTTCTAGCCGGAGTAATATGCATCACCACCGACAGCATGCCCACCACCATGCCGAAGACGACAGGACGACGACACGATTTTCTACTTCCACAACTACGACAATACTTGTGTTGATATCTGTACTTGTGCTTGTCCATATCGTGCTCCACCATGTATAATGATGCATGTCTGTGTTTTCAGTTTGCCTCTTCTCGCTCATGGGTTGTGAAATCGAGTGCAGTTAGTTCTACGATCTGGTTCGTCATTTTTCTGTTTCAGGATTGCCACCGGTTGGTACATCTCAAGTGGCCACTGACAGTCAGCCGTGGGTTTGGTAAAGTGTGCGGTGCTTGTTGTGTTCGGAGTGATTGTGACAGCAGGTGTGCTGTCTCTGACACGCTTAGTTATCTACAGTGAACTCAAGCATGATTTAAAGTGTGTGATAGTTGTAAGGGTATGTAGTCGTCGGGGTTATTCTGTTGTTGCCGTGGAGTTCTAGGCCTGGTTTTGGAGGTGGTGATGTTGACGCCGCTCATTCCTGTTTCGATGAAAGATGGAGGTCTGTAGTTGATTGCCTCCGTGTTTGCAGGTTCATCACGGTTGGTATCATAAGGGAGCATTCGTGCTAGTGGCCCCAATCTGACGGTTCGAGTGTGTCGGTTCAGGCAGTGGTACTTACAAGCTTTCTTTTGGGGGCCAGCCTTTGCCATGTGTCCTTGCCATGTGGGAGTTTCAGAATTATGGGAACTATGTGAAAGTCCTAAACTGCAAGGTGCTCTGTTTGTGGACGTCCAAGGGACGCGTACTGTGTAATAAACTCCCGAGGGTTACTCAGAGAGCCGTTGTGCCAACCTGAGAAGTGAGTTCTTTCCAGAAGCTCACAGTTTTCAAGAATCAGGACGGCACTCTGACTATCGACGACACAGAGCTTTCCGCTGACGAGCAGCTCGCGGCTAAGGCCGGTTCTAGAAGTTTGCATCAGTCTACGTGGCCTCTGTCTGAGTGAAATATCAATAGCAGTAGGAACAACGGTGCTACGACTGCGTACTACTCCGTTTGATTTCTGCTGCTGCTAGTACTGCTGCTGCTACTGCTGCCACTGCTACTACTACTGCTACGACTGCTTCTACTGCTCTACTGTTGCTACTGCTACTAGTGCTAAAACTGCTAAAACTGCTGCTGCTGCTGCTACTACTACTACTACTACTACTACTACTGCTCCTGCTCCTGCTCCTGCTCCTGCTCCTGCTGCTGCTAGTGCTACTGCTACTCCTCACAGGAACTCGGTGCTGACATTGAGAAGCTCTCGAGCAAGTCGTTGGGGACTTTCCAGCGTCTTATGATTTTCTCCCTTCTTCCGTTCTGCTTGCCTTTCAAGGCTTTCTTTCCTCCGTTTTTGATCCTCTCGTGCCTGTTTTCTGTTTTTCTGAGTCTTTCTACTTTCTAGGGCTGTTGCCGCAAGCGTGGCTTTTATCATGGGTTTCGATGGTAGAATGCTGCATGTCTTTGTTTGACGCTTGAATTTGTTGCTTCGAAGCCCTTCTCACCGTCCTGCTGCAGAGTCTGCGCCTTGTGGCTTTGTGGGAAAGCTGCTGCGGTTCGCAGCGCACTTTTCAGGGGCCTTTTGGCGTGGACATTTTGCAAAAAAACGCGTCCCTTCGCAATGATTTCGGCAACTGATCCAATCAATTTGCTCCGCCATGAGTGCTGCATATCACAAATATGGCATGCAGGAGACGGCGCTCTCTGTCCTCGACTCCATAGGGACCTCCGGAAACCGAGTAGTAGATGATCGCCGCGAGCCCGAGAAACGAAAGCCTGTCGTAGGCGGACACTTTCAAAATTTCTGAGTGTCTGAGATGACATCTCGTCATTGACTCTGAGGGGTTTCGCTCGCCTTTGCCGTGTTTCGGGGAAGCTGGGCATTGCAGCCGTGCAGATCAGCTTCAGCGACGGCGCCGTCCATTGCGCCACTGCAAACCCGTATGCCACAAGAAGGCCCCAGAATCCCAAGCAGGACAAACATGATCGGAATGAAAGCAGTGAGTGGGAGTGCGAGTGTGTCTGTGTGTCTGTTTGCGCTTGCACATCAGCTCACCCTGGCCTTGGGCCGGCTGGCCGCTCCACATGCCCCCCTGACACTCTCCTTACCTATGCCTCAGAGCAAAGCCGAAGAGTTTGTGCAACTCGGGGAACGGTTTTGCCCTCAAGGACTCAAGGCTTTGCACCTCTTTGTAGTTGGCGATAACGATGAGATGCTGAATGCCATCCTGATCGGAGACGGAGAGGGCCCCCACGGCCCTCGAGATGGAGCATCCCCGAGCCGAGCCCGAGCATCCCCCCATATCGTCCTCGTGCAACTCGACGACTTCGCTCTGCAGCTCCAGCGCCATCTTCCGGACACCGAGCAGGCAAAGAATTCCTCTGCAGCTCATTCCAAGACCTGATTTCCATTTCCATCTTTTACGTTCTGCGAATGACAACGGAAACTCTGGCAAACTCGTGAATCCATGTGAATCCTACTGCATGGTATGCCAAGCCAAGCGCACAGGCTGGCATTCAGAACTGCCTCAGCGCAGCCATCAATGCAGCAGCATTTGAGATCTATTGTATCTGAGCATCCACAGGATTAGCAAAGATAACCCTAATTCTGCGAAGGCGGCCTTCCTAGATTTAAACGCCTGCCCGCTCAGCTTCACACGCAAATGGACAGCCTGAGATAGCGATGCAGCCAGTATGTTCTTGGTCCTACATCATTTGTTGCCGCTTGTCCCAGAATCCGAGCGTGCTTGAGCACGAGTGATACGGTGAAAGGCATCGTGGGCCCACTGTGGGGTCGAGTGCTGGGCGGCTGGGCCCCTGCTGTTGGGTTTGAGCTTTGCCTCGTTGTTTGGAGGACCCGGCCCTCCCGCTGTCAGCCAGTGCAATGCAGCTCAAGTCCCAGCCAAAGTTCAGTGACACGGCACTGTGCTACATGCGCTGTATTGCATGGGCACATGGCATCAACTGCTGGCAGCTCTGCATACAAACTCATCCAAGCGACAGCAGTCTCGTTGATAGCACGAAGCCAAGTGCTGCTAGAAAAGTCACCTAAGCAAATCTCTGTCCATGTCAGTATCTATCACATCTCCTGGCACTCAGGCATAGGCCAGGAGGAACAAAAGCAATGGAAACAGCCTCGCCTGGTATCGATGCATCGTGGCATGGTGCGCTTCAAGAGCTTTCTTGATGAAATTGCAAGGCCCAGGCAAATGTAGCTGCACGGCGACGCTCGTGGATGTTGGCTCTGTGAAACGAGTAGAGACTCTCTGCCTGAGCGAAGTTGCAGTCGAGCATCATGACAGCTCTGATAGCCTGAGCGCCCGACGTTGTTGAAAGCAAGACATCCTCTTTCAATGTCCGCAGACATAACTCGTCGCGGGTGGGGCAATGCTGACTAGCTGTAAGATCTCGGGTAGCCTTCTGAATACCATTAAATCAAATCATGTCTGGATTCAGGGCTGCCGACGTCTGGCTGCTGCCGACTTGACTAATGCTTTGGCCGATGGCGGCTTGTAAGGGCTGCGCAACATGTGCACATCGACATGACAACAGTGACCAGCATACGATCCGCAGTTGCACAAAATCAACAGCAGCCGCAAGCTGATAGCTGCAATGACAATACTGGGCCAGCCCTTGTCAGACCTGTGTGACCTGATTGCAGGCACTGTGCATCCGATTCCGTGGACTTCCCGTGCATTCCCAGACTCGTCTGTTCAGCAAGCTGCACTGCGGCGTTTTTCAACTGTGCAAATGAAGTTCAGCAACTCGCGTGCAGGAAGTATTACTCGCCCTCAGGGAGTTTGCAAGCAAGTCAAAGCGGCAAGATGGTGGCACACACAAACCGGAATGTGACGTGCCTTTGTTGTACGGATCCACTCTAGCTGCCAAGCCGAGTTCTTTGAGCAGCTGGAGAACCGCCGGCCGCAGCAGCGACTCACCTTGCACTGAGTTGCACTGCTGTGTACCTAGGACCTTAGGACAGTTGCCAGTCGTCGCGACTGCATCAAAGGATTCTATCGCCACCCCGCCATCCCTCCACAGATTGCATACAGCAGTATCTAATCTTCCAGTTCCTTCTTTTTCACGCTGTTGCAGATTCTTTGCAGCTTCCCGTTCGCAATTTATCATCTATACCGGTGTTGATCTGTCAACCACTGTGCAGAAATGCCGTAGGAGGCGGTGAGCTCCCAGAATCCTTGCCGGCCTTCGGAGTGGCTGCCGCGCCCCGTCACCAGGACAAGGCCTCGGCCCGGCGATGCCTTTTTTGCTCTCTGTGGTGACCTGTGAAAGAGAAATGCTGATGCTGATCGCAAGGGCCGCGCCCCAGGACGGCAGCATCCCAGGCTTCACCATCGTGGCGTCCAACAGAGCACAGCAGACTGCCAGGCGTGCCTCTTGCAGATCTGCACTCGAACGTGACTGTGATCCTGACGGCCTGGTTTCCAGCCTCCTCTGGCTGCAAACCATGCAGGTCGAGGTGTCCCCAACGGCGGCCCGGTTCGAGCCATCCTGCTCCAGCCTTGCGACCGCCAAGCCGAAGTCCACGAAGCGGGCGCTCCCGATACCAAGCCTGCAAGAGCAGTGGGAGCCGTGTGACACGGGTGTCCCCAAAGGTAAGTAAGTTGTAGATGAACACAACCAAGACGCCAGTGCTGTTGCCAAATCGCCCATGTGCACATGGCTGGTCATGCCGGCGGCTTGAAAGACATCGTCCAACACCATGCCAGAAGCCTCCGCCACAAGGAGAAGACGCGAGCCGTGCTGCTGAAATGGCCACTACACGCGGCCCCCGGGCCTCCATCGTCTGGAGCAGTTGCAGCACCTGCTGCCACTTCGTCGACTTCTGGCAGGCCGAGACCACCAGGGAAAGCGTGAGCCTCACGGGCGTGCATTGCTCTGAGGGGAGCGAACCCTTCCGAAGTCTGAGGAGAAAGCTGACTCAGTGGTGCTCCTGCCACGGCACCGTCGGAAACGACCTAGACCAGAGCCTATACTGAACAGCTTTACTCTGAAGACCCCGGGTCCGGCAAGGGAGGCATCTTCCAGGATTTGCAAACAGCTCTGCCAGGATGAGTTCTTCTCAAATACTCGGCACAGTGTGTTGAAGGTGCCGTCGAGCACATTCAACTTCCTTGGCATGATTATGGCACTGCTAGTGCCGGTCGAAGATGCGTTGTCCATGTCTTCTGGTCTTCTCATGCAGATGCAGGACCCGACAGCACATGGGATCCAGTTGGACATCGTTCTATGCTGACACCTGCTGTCTGCCTCTTTCTGCCTGAAGGTCGCCTCATAGTTGTTTGTGACAGCTAGCACACCGTGGGATATCTAGAACCAAGCCAGGGAAGTCGCTACAGTACATCAAGACTGGCATCTCCGCCGTCGCCGATCGATGGAAACAAGATCCTCGCGAGACGGCGGGAGGACAATGACGAACGAGACAGGGAGAAGTCACCGTGCAAAAGCAGAACGGGGAAGACAAGAACCTAAATCAGAACCCCATCCGGCTCGGATGTACCCCCGGGCTGTAGCTTGGGCTGAAAGAATGGAAGCCAGCAGATCATCCAAACAGGAAGCACTGCATGCACTTGCAACAACGTAAAACAGCAAGACACATGCAAATAGGGTCCCCCCCAAACGAAGTGAATTAAGTGGCCTCCCGAATCCCCCCGAATTCAGGATAGAGTCGCCTCGTACAGGGTGTGTTGAACCGAAACGAGGATTGGTGGCCAATATGACCCATGAGTGGAAGGGCTTTATTTGAGAACGGCCAAGGAAAGAAATCCCCGACCTGCTTAAAATGTGCAATGCCATGAGACAATCTGAAAGACCTCTGCAAAGCATGGTACAGCATGCACTATCCCTCTGGCATGAGGATGAAACAGGATGAAATTGCAACAGGCGGAGAAAAAACTCAGTGCAAGCCACCAGACGGCAACAACCAGCCCCACAAGCATCATCATGACTCTCCCCCTGCCAAGCGATTTTTTTAAAGATCTGGCCGTTCACACTCGAAGTTAACCGTCTCGTTTCCTCTCGCTGCTCTGCGCTATGTGTCCTTGTACTTGTCGCACATCCCGTCACATCCCCCATGTCATGTGGGGCCCTGGTTGGACGTCGCCGCTGCACGTGTTGGGTGGGGCGTTTCTGACGGTCTTCCCAGTTTCTCCCAGGGCCACTGCTCGTCCTCCTGCGCCTTTGTCTGTGATTCACAAGGCATCTCGAGCCTCTGGATGCACCCCCCCTTGGCAGTCCTCACACACCTCCGCATCTGCATCGTCATCGCCTCCCCAGTCCACCTCCATGTCGTTGCCGTGCTTCACTGTTGTGACTGGCCTGTGATGTTGCGGCTCGGACGGTGCTGGCCCCCCCCTCCCCCCCTCCGCCCGGAGTTGGGAGCTGCCCGTTGCATCGACGCCCCCTTGTCTGTCCGGTCAGGTGTCTGGGTGGTGGCCGAGAGGGTTCCGTTACACTAAGTGGTCACTGGCCTGACCCTCAGGCCTTGCGCCCGTCCTTCCACCCCTTGCTTTAAGGAGTAGGAGACTTTGAGACTCTTCAGCAGTCTCTGTTCTTCAGCACAGACAGAGAAAGCAGAGCACGCTCCGCGCTCCCACGCAGCCTCTCTCGCTTTCTCTTTCTATCGTGCGGTGTGACCCCTAACCTAGCGGTTGCGCACACACCTGTTGTGGAGCTCTAGGCATACAACTCAACTGACAACCGGCTCGCTCTCGCTCCCTCACACGATTCAGCTAGACCACTTTTGCAGCATCCGAGCATACAGCTCGAAGACACATTGCCAGCGGCTTCCCCGGAAGCAGGCGCTCATCGTCGTGTTGTAAGAGATTGAGTCTGGTTGCCTACTGCGTCAGTTGCAGAGGCAGCATGATATCCCCGCTTGGCGGCTTTGGCCTGGTAGAATGCAGCATGCTCAAGGACTCCTCCCACCGCCAAGTCTGTGCCAATGCCGCCAGAATTGTGTTGACCTGTGGACATGACCGTTGGCCATTGACCGTCTCGTGCCGTCTCTGCATGTCAACTTCAACCCGCTGTACCGATGGAAGGTTCGCAAGTCCAATGCTGAGTTACTCCACATTTGAAGGGCTCTGTAGTCACCAGGATCTTGCTGGCACGGACTCATACCTAATCCACAGCCGCTTACCGTTGCGGGGCAGTCGCATCATGTTTGTGCTTGTGACTTTAAACTGACCTGAACTTAGCATGCTCGTCCCAGATCGCTTCATGCGCAAGGTTGAGATCATGTGTAGGAATGATTGACACTCTTCTGTACGAATTTGGCACAGTAAATAGAATTTGAAGTACCCCGGCCATGATGATGTCTGGCTTGAAGTAGCGGTGTGTGTCTGCGTAGATCGCCAGCGCAGCCTGCCACTGTGCACCTGAATGACGCAGCTTTTCAGTGAGTGAGTGGTAGCGATGTCTCGCTTCGTGCCTCGCGCGACGGCTGCAGCCGCGGCATTGAGAAGGACAATGTCCGGCTGCATGTTACGCGAAGACTCCTGACACGACTGACACAGTCGTCAAAGCATGAAACCCTCAACGCTGCATCTGCACCAGTATCCACACCTCCAGGAGCGCCAGGGCCCTGTCCCAAAACAAACCGTGCCCACACGCCTGCACGACATAGTTTCTGGTGTTCCAGCTGATGTGCGTAACTCCTGCCTCCACAAGTGCCGCAAATGTTACCAGAGTTGGCCGGAGTTGCTGCGCTTCCATCATCGGGAGAAGTGCCACCGCTCCCTGTGTCAAATATTGCCAAATATCAGGCTCAGTCTGCTATGAATGTTTTCAGCAGAAGCTGGACCTGCCATTGGCTGCCTTTCTTACAGGCAGTGATGGCTGCATTCCAGGCAATGGTGTCAGGCACCAGGAGCTGGATCTCCATGCTGTGGATGAGGTACACGGCTGCCTTGAAAGGAGACGGAAACAAGGGAAGCTTGCCAAAAACAACAGTCCATGCCTGCCACTGCTGCGCTCCCCCGCAAGCGCTGATTGCAGCGCTTACCACCTTGAGGTTAGGACCTCAACCGAGATGTAGTACTCCAAAACCCAGCTGCCCCTAGCTGCCCCAGCTCGAGCTTCCCAGTCCTTGCATCGTGTCCATCAGCGCCAGAACCGCCTGCCACTGAGCACGCCGGCTGCAGGCAGCTGCAGCAGAGCCATATGCGGATGGCACCCTGCCAGGACCACTATCCGGATATGTTCACAACAGGCATGCAACGATGCCAGCAACACAAGTGCATGAAGCGCCTGACACCTCGAATGTGCATGTCTGCGAGAAGCCATATGCACCACTCCTCAGCATCGGAGTTGAACACAAAGCGTTGCTTGTGACTGTTCTTCATTTGGAGGTCTCATCGTGTCAGGAAGCCCAATGTAAGCTTTTGCGGAAGGCTTCCATTCCGGCGGTGTATGTTTGGTGGCAGGGATGCCTCAGCTTCACATGAGATTGAAGGGCACTGTGGCTCACAAGAATTCAGTACACAAGCTTTGTCAAATTGCGAAAGTCAGGCCGCCCGTGTAAATTCTGAAGAAGGTGTGCCCAATGGCCATGCGCGGCACCTGCCAGCCTCGGAGCAAGTGAAGAGTGCGACGAAACTCAAGGTCAAAACTCAACACCTATAGTTCAAATTATCCTGCAGCTCAGTCGCTGGGACTGGGCTTTGCTGGATGACCACATGCGCCGTCCGCAGGCCGGAGATCTAACCCACATGGCATGGTGGCGATGCCACATGCCACCAGCAAGTCCCCCGGAGTACTAAGCCCTCCTCTGGATCGGCAGCGCATGGGAACACAGTGAAATGCAGTGAACACGGGCGAACAACGTTTCGAGGCCTAAGGCTTTGAACGCTGTGCGTCTTGTAAGAATTCCCACGACCCACCAATTCGCAAGTTGCGGGATTAAGTGCGGGCTCACTTGCTGCGGCTCGTCCACAAAATTTTTTCGACAATTTCGCTTGCCAGCCGTCAGAAGTCCAATTTCTTGAACATCCATGCATCTTCATCCAGGCGGTCAACCTCGTGGCGGAATTGGATTGGGGCTGGAAGTCTGGCGAACACCGCCACGCACTACGTCATGTTTGGGACCCAGTTTGGGACATCTGCCGTGCCTCGCGCCGCAGTTCTGCCATGATTCCCTCGAGGACCTGCCGTTGAATTGAAGGTGCTTGACTTCACGACTCCAAACCCGTCCCTAACTCTTCATGTCGCCTTGGCCACTCTCCGCCATGCTGCCAGCGAAAACCAACAGTAACAACGCGACAAAGAACCACACGATTATGCAAGCTATTATGAATGTCACACCGTGCAAATCCTCGAGTCTTCTGCTCTGTGCGACTGCGCCTTCTGCTTGAACTTGCGGTCGCGCTCTGACTCCTCATTGCGAGTCTCTCGAATGCCTCAGGCCACGGTGTGCACCGAATCAAGCACACATTGATGTCACCGTGTGCTCACATGCTGAGAAGTCCGCCGGTTTGCGGCCTCAAGATGACTTGGGACCACAACATTAAAGTAAGTACGTGCCAGTACATGGGATCATTTCTGCTCAAATAGTCAACCTTCAACCTTCGCGGAAGGATGTGGACAACGTGACTGTGATGATTTTGTAGACGTTGACTGAAGGCAACTTGAGAATGGAGGCCATGATGAAATGCCTGTGGTTCATCCTCTGTCACCTTGTTTCAAGATCCCTGCCCGCCCATGCAACCCAAACAAGGCTTTTTGAAACAGATTTGGCAACATCCTCTAGCAAGTCAGTCCGCGTGCGACCAACCTCATTTTGCACCACTACTGTCACTGGGGAATCAGTTGAAGGCAGGGACTTTTGCAAAGACCAACAAAATTCGAGTGAGAGATGAGACAATTTGCGTTGACAAAACTGCCTGCGACGGGATTTCTGGTTAACTTGGAAAACGGCCTGTGACCGGTTATTTCAACATAGTTCATGCATGTCAAACACTGCAAGGAGAATGTGGATGGTCATATTTACAACAGTAAACAGTATTCAGAGTGGAACGTCAATCACTAGCCCTCCCCACGACGAACCCAGCCGTAAGGTTTGGGAGTTTTCTGCACTCGAACACGAAAAACCATGAACTCAATGCAGTCTGCATCAGCCTGACAGATCTTCATGCCGATGATTCTCTTAATGATTCTCGCACCAGCTGACCGGAACTCGGCAAAGAACTCATGTGGAGCAATATCGTAGGGTATAGGTTCCCCCCTGAAGCCATTTCATGCTATTTCTGAGTAATCATGGCTTGATGTCAAAGCACGAGATCACACACTCCTAAGACCCTTAGGCAGCATTCAAGCATGGCTGCTACATGTCCAATCCGATCTGCCATGCAGCCCCCGCGCAGAAGCCCCGCTCCAGTTGGTCCATGCAGCACGGCCTGGCTCGCAGAAATATTAATCATCAACAAATAAAGAGAGGCGCTCGCTGCCAACTTGAAGGTATAAACCGAGTGATATACATGCTGTGATGGATCCACACTAGAAGCGCTTCTCTGAACCGAGGTCCCCACCACCGGTCGCGCTTGCGGTGCTTGCAGCTCCGGAAACACTTTCGAAATGGAACACCGGCCTTGGGATCAGCCCAGCTGCAATGCTTCCAGCTCCGTACTCGTGGCAAAGGATCCTGCATTCGGCCCTGGTCGGCCCTGAATCCCCATGGCGTTGGCATCGAGAGGCAACGGAGATGAGCCCAGAATGTTGCTTGTGAAGTGCGTGTCGCCAGATCTAATCATCACCACTCACCTTTTACCAGCCTTGTGCTAAGGAGGCCTGTCTGCGGGAGATCACGCAAGCAAGATCTGATGCCGCATGCAGCACAACTTGACGTGATGCTTCTTACCGGTGTATTACGAAGCCTTTGTCAGGGCGTTTCAGAAACTCACGACTTGTTCGCGGTATGGTCGCTGCTTTAGCAGGTGCCAGATCGCAGATCACCGCGTGAGGCGACAACTTGTGTGCCCAAAGCTCATCATGCACTTCTAGCTACTAGTTGAACTGTGCAAGTGTGTCCATGCAATGTGGAAAGGCCGAGATGGAACGCCTGCAGTCCAAATTCAACCTCTTCAGGATGAAATCAAGACGAGAAACCACGTGGCCTACATGCATTTGGTTTTCACCCTGATAGGTTAAGAAATGGGCTCCATCCTTAAGGATGAGCCAAGCTAGTGATATAATCAATGGCCTGAGCGATTGCGTCGCTCTCTGCGCTGCTTTGGCGGTTCGCAGCTGAGACAAGCTAGACTCGGCCGTTCGCCGCATTCGCATGAGCAGGCGGCGCAAGTTGCAGGAGGCCTCGCACAAGTGATGCACACAGCAGGCAAACAGCGGCCTGTGTGCATAGGGTCCTAGAATGCACCAGTACCCAACTGAGACGACAATGGACGAGCAAGAGGCACAGGAGTGCTCCTCTGCAGTTTGGCCTGGTCCAAGGCTAGAGTGTCCGGCAACGAGCAGCTTTGGCTCTCCTTGTTCTCCACAGTCAAAAAGCCTCGCATCGCAGGTTCAAAGAGCTCTCGCAGATATCTCGCTGAAGGATGGGAAGACGGCATTGCTTGACATGTTTCGTACTACACTACACAACTCGGCAGTTGTGGATGTCCTGTTTTCCGAAGCCTCGCAACATCTTTGAACTTCGCATGAAACTTGGCAGCATGCCTTGGCCACCCTGCGACCCGCTTGTGAGTACAGTGGGCACACGACTTGGATGCATGCCGCACGTGCTGCCATCACCTAGACCGCTTGTGGCCTGCACAAAGCTGTGGGCTGAAATCCACGTGGCAGATCTGTCGTCCATTGCCTGCGCCACGCGGCGGCTACAGCACATCAACTTTAGCGGCTTCGAGGCCTGAGCAGGTGTGGGTTGGCTTGCACACTCCAGGCTTCAAGCAGCCCCGAAGAGAGGATCCAGAGCAAGCCGCCTGACGTGTAGCATCGCAGAGTGCCAATTCCGGAAAGGCTAGGCCAGGCTCCTAGAGTCCTAGAGGACACATCACAAACGGTACTTCGGTGTCGTTCTCTGACAAGGGCTATGAGGGCACACCACGACGAGAACACGACGCGCGACGACTCTGTGACGCTCGGCGCCAGGAGCCCTGGCAATGGCCCGACTGGCCCTTGGCCTTGGAGGTGGAATGCCTGCGCCTTCACAGGCACGTCGCACGCCCAAGCCTTGAGAGGCCGACGCTTGTCACGGTGAAAGTCTGTGGAGAAAGGTCAGGCTGTGGCGGAATTGGCCGCAAGCGAGCTGGGCACGGAGACATGGCCCTGGCCTTCAGAAGAAATTCCTTAGCCGGATGCTGGACTGGCCAGCGCGGAAGTGCATGCTGGATGCATCTGGATGCCTGGATATGCATGGTGCACTTCAAAGCTTTAAGAGATCCTGCAGTAAACAGCGAAGCTCGGAGCTGGGTGCCATGCCTTCCAGACTCACATGGAGCACTTGCAGATGCTTTTGTCCTGCGAATGTCTCAGGGTGGAAGGACTGTTTCTGGCCACATTCCCGGATGCAAGTAGGTCATGTATCCCTGACAATAACGCAGTCTGGACTTGTGAACATATCGTCACGTCTGCCTGCAGAGATGAGAGGTCTGCATTTGAATGTGGATTGGGTCCGTGCATCACACCTTCCCGTTTTGTGCCCGTTGGGATCTGGCTTAAGTAGGCATCGACAAGCAACTATCCGAGGGATCCCAACAAAGTCAACTTCTGTCACGAACGAACAGAAACAGGCCGGAACAGATTCCGTGTCAGCAGGCACCCCCATGGCGGTCATCCTTGTTGCTGTTGTCCGTGCGGCTCTTTCCGCTCCCAAGAAAGTGAGGATAATGAGCACGAAGGCGAACGTGGCGTGGGCGATGGCACTGACAATGGCACAGTCATCGCAAGCATGCTGGACCCTGCTAGACACTGTGCGTGTGCCCTTGCACGTGCAGGCCTCAAAATAAGTACAAGCAGAAGCAAAGACAAAATCGCAGGGTGCCGATTGCACAAAACCAGTTCAAGAAGAATCCCCTTAAAGTTAGAAGTCCTATGACTGTGGCTCGCTAACTTCAAGCAAGAACAGCCATGCCTTCCACAGCGAGAACAAGGCAGACTGCACCATGCTCACTCCTGAGCGAAGCCCGACATGCAAGCCGTATTCCGGGGTGGGAAAGTCACAAAGGGACTCCTATGCAGGCCAAGCCACAACCACTTTTTTGGGGGGCAGAATTTCTTCTGTGCCGTATGACATTGCCGCAAGCGTGTTGCTCGCTTCACGCAGTGCTTCGGCTTGAAGCACATCAGCCATGTCCGTCACAAGCACAGCTGATTCGCTAGTTACAGACATGCATTCTCCTGTCTGCCAGGTCCTACAAACGTGGGAAATCTCGTTAGCAAGACTTCCCCCTGGTCTCTGACGACCGTCGCTGAACAGCTTCTTCAAAGCATTCAGCAGGTTGCTACAAGCTCTACGTCCTCTTTGCACTTTGCCACCATCGCTGCTCACCGCAGCTCGCAGCAGGTCGGACAAACTCTTCAAAAGAAGCACTACGCCGGCATTGTCTGGCAAGCTTTCTCCCCTGTGCCTGTCTTTCCAGCTCCGGCAAACTCTTGCAACTTCGTTCCTGAATTCTTCTCCACGTGAATTCTGCCAAACTAGCTCTTCTAGAGCCACCAGCAAGTCAATGCAGGCATCACTTTGCAAGCAGCTTGAAGCCTTACTCTTCGAGTCACCATGGTCTGCGGCCGCCGCAGCCTCCGAGCGATCTGCCGCGGCGTCCTCAGCCAAAAGACGCTTTTGCCAGGTCTCCAGGATTTCCTGGCACAGAACTGTGAAGGAATACCTGCTCAAAGGCATGTCGCTTCGCTGCTGCACCAAACTTTGCACTGTGTCTGCTAAATCTCTTACCAAGGAAGCCTCTAAAGAATTTGGAGGGAATCCTCGAGCTGACAGGTTTCTCGCCCTCCAGCTTCTGCACAACTTTTCGACATCTTGCGAAAAACTTCGCTGATGCCCGCGGAAGATTCTCTCCAGATTTTCCATCAGCTCAACAAACAATTCGCCACTAGCCAAATCACCAGACGCGTGAGCTTCATGCTGAGCTTCACGGAGCGTTCTTGCAAGCTGCTCTGCAAGCTCTGCTGCCTCATCGATTACAATGTGAACTTTGCTCCTTGGGCTGCTTGAGCAGTCAGGTTGTATCTCTGTGAACTCTGGGGCAACCTGAGAGTTGCTCGAACGGCCATATGTCCAACACGTATACACGACAAGTGCCGAGCAAAGCAAACCTGCACCGAAGCCTCCCAGAATGGACGGCACAGCTCTAGCTTGCAGCTGCGCGAAGGACACGAACGAGCTTGAGCTTGTCTGCGAGGAAGTGCTTGGAACCTTTGTTGCAGTAGAAGACCCTGTCGTGGTTGATACGGATGTGGTGGGTGTGACTGTGCTGCTGAAGGACTGGGTGAAAGTGAAACTCGAGGTGAGAGAGGTAGATGTCGTGGTTGATAAAGAACTGGAAGACGTCACGGTTGACGTGGATGTGGAGGTGGCTGTGACAGTCGATGAATATGTGCTGCTGGAGGTTTGGGTGGAACTGAAACTGGAGGATGAGGAGCTGCTGGACGTCTTGGTGGAGGTAGAAGTGGAGGACACCGTGGTTGACGTAGATGTCGAGGAGGATGTACCGCTGGAGCTTCGAGTGGAACTGGATGTCGAGGACATGCTGGACGTAGTGGCTGTTGTGGTAGATGTCGAGGTGGAAGACATTGAGTTCGTGGAGCTCGATGTCGTCGTTGATGCGGATGTGGTGACTGTGACTGTAGACGGCGATGTGCTGCTGGAGCTTAGGGTGGAGATGGATGTGGAGGAAGTGCTTGACGTTCCTGTGGACGTAGGAGTGAAAGACGTGGTGGTTGAGGAAGAGATGGTGGTGGCTGTGAGCGTAGAGGATGTGCTACTGAAGCTTCGTGTGGAGCTGGAGGTGGAAGAAGCGCTGAACGTCTGTGTGGATGTAGAAGTGGAAGATGATGTGGTAGATGCTGTAGCTGTGGCAGTAAGCGAAGATGTTCTGCTGGAGGTCTGGGTAGAGCTGGAGGTAGAAGATATGCTTGTCTTCGTTGATGTAGCAGTGAAAGACAGTGTGGTCGTGGAGCTCGATGTCGTTGTTGATGCGGATGTGGTGACTGTGACTGTAGACGGCGATGTGCTGCTGGAGGTTTGGGTGGAACTGGCGGTGAAGGAACTGCTTGTTGTCTTCGTGGACGTAGAAATTGAAGATGGCGTGTTCGTGGAGGTAGATGCACTGGTTGATGTGGACGTGGAGATTGTGCTGGAACGCGATGATGAGCTACTGGTATATGTTGTGGTAAGTGTTAGAGTAAAGGATGTGCTTCTGGAAGATGTCGTTGTTGTGCAGGCATCCACATCCGGAATGGACATGTTGATATCACCATCTTCTGTGACACCTGGGGGCCGGGCGAGGTGGGGTCAAGTCAGCTCAGAGGACCTACGAGTAAATGAGCGAGCCCCCCCATTCTTGGACCCGAGGCTGTTGACCGAACAAGCAGAAGGATTATGGGTTGGTTCTGGGCACACTGCTGCAGGCCTGCGATGGTCAGAACAGTTCGAGCACCTACCTCAAAATCCGACGATAAATTGATAAGGTTGTTCAGCGCCATTGGCAGCTCCACAGCCGGTGTAGGATTTGCACCATTGAGGTCCTCAGCAAAGTAAACTTTCCAGGACCTCAGGTATGTAAAGTCGGCATCGGCAGGGAGATCAAACGAAATGCTACCACCGAGAAAGCCGCAGCGAGGATCTGAATCCACAAACGTCACATGTTGTTGATCAAAAGGTAAAGTGGTGAACGACCCACCAATATCATATAAGGGAATGATGGCGGAGGGAGCAAGCTCTGAGACCAGCTGCCAATTTCCTGAGATAACTGTATGAACTTGCAAGTAGCGGGGCGGCGTCGCACCAGGCATTGCAATGATTGCTTGTCGCTGAGTGTCTGCCAGCGTAAAATTTGAGTTGAGTTTGGGTAGAGGACCACCAAATCCTCCATGATCCAATTCAGCAAAAGATGGGAAGTCGAGAGTTGACGGGTCGTATGTTGCAGCAGCTGTAATCAAAAACCGATACCCGTCAACATCCGTCAAATCCGAAGGCCGTGTCCAGCTGATAGGTCCGGCTAATGTCCCAAAAACGTCGTTCGTGTCCATAAATACAACATCAGTGACACCACGGTAGGCATCCGAGACCACCGTGACTGACAGCATCAGGTGTTGCAAGCATTGACAGATCATTTTCGGCTGCCACCAAGCTTGCCGTTAGCGCCATGTGCGGCTCTGTCTCAAGCTGTTGCATTTGCCACGATTTACAGTGCTTTACAATGTTTTTCACCTGTCCCAGCCCTGGGTATGTCGCTCGAACTGCTATGCACAAAATCCGCCCATAACTTTATGACAGCAAAGCTGAGAACAATAAGCAATTGCTTCTTGTGGCAGGGCGAGACATGAAGTGATGCTGCTCCGACTGGGCTGCTTCGTCACCGGTGAGCTTTGCTGCTAGGATTTCTGAGCACGATGCAGACAAGCCTACGCTCCTACAAGACTACGACAGGGAAGGCTCGTGACATCAACGCCTTGTGTGGCAGTGTACGGTTTGAGTAACTAACACAAAACGTGGCTCAACAGATCTTGCAAGACAGGGAAGAGTTTTCAGTTCGAACTTCATAAGCCAAGCTGCAGCAAGCCCTCACACCCAGAGAGGGCACCGGACAGGCGTCCTGCACGTCGGAGTTTGGGAATTCAGACCCTTGAAGATTCAATACAGCAACCCAAGCGACAAGTCCTGCTCTGTGGGGCAGCTGTAGCCTCCGAACATGTTGCACCAAGAGACCTGTGACCTGTGAGGATGCCTGCCATGCATGCCATGCCTGACCAAGCGGTCCCCAAGCAAGAGGCTGTCCGGCAGGCGTCGGAAAGCAAGGCAGCCGAGACCAAAGCCACAGAACCTGGGCAAGGCTTGCATGCTCTTGCAGGCTCCGTCGTTTCAATACTAGTTTGCAGTCATCTCCTCAGACCCTACAAAGTGACCCGCCTGAGGAAAACCACCCGTCGGCAGTCTTCCGATCCACTCGCTTTGCAGAGACTCCACGCACAACCTACTCGCCCAGTTGCACCTAGTCACACAAGTCCCAACGGTTTTACACAAAGCGTTGCCAAAGAGCAATCAAGCCGACCGCACCGCTGCACTTGTTCCCAACAGGAGTGAGTTGTTCAGCAATTACTTCTCTTTCGAGCCTCCTATCTCATGCTCTACGGCTCTGGCTTCTCAGTGCCTCCTGAACACACAGACAACGACACCAACATCCTTAAGCAGGAAGGATTTCTTGATCCGGATGTTTACTCAGCGCACGCTGAAGTTCAAAATGCAGAGCACGATGAGTTCCCCTGACCTTGAAGTTCAAAAACTCTGGCTTGCGGTGACTTCAGTTAGGAGTGCAAGTTCTAAGTTCCTGTCTGCCGATCAAAAGTACTATGCCGTCGCTGCATTTCTTGACATGCGACTCGACTCGGTTCTGATCAGACCAACCATGCCGAGGTCATGCCTCTCTCTCTGAGACTGAGGTGACTTGATTGTGCAGTCCAGCGCTCATTGCAAGTACAGCTTTGGCACTCTTGTGCTGCTTGGCCGGATGGTGCGGGGTGCTTCTTGGAGTTGCGACTGCGGCGCCGCTTCGAGCAAACTGACGAATGTCAAAAAAGGCTCAATGGGTCAGAGTCACAGTGAATTGTCTTGACAACTGCGTGTCTAAACGCTAGTAACCCAATGCCTCTCAACGTCCTGTCTGTACCAATGAAAGCATTTGAGCCAAGTCTTGGCAATCAAGCTTGCGCTTGCCTTGCAGGCTCTCAGCCCAAGGCTTGGGCACGAAGATGCTACATCTAGCTAGTTACACCATGCCGCCATTTTCAATAACCTGTGCTCGGGCTGAGGAGCACACGGTTTTGAGAGCAGCAGAGTGGGCTCTTAAGCTTCAAGACAGCATCTTGCACCCCCCCCCCCCTGCAGCACGTGTACCGGCCTAGCCAATTCCTGGACTCGGTGCGAAATTAGTTCTGCTTCTGCCTGGGAACAGCTCCTCCGTAGAAGTCTCGTGTGCAGCGGAATCACGCAGGGCGTAACGAGCCTGATCGACATAGGAGGCTCAAGGTTGACAACACTCTGCGACCATCTGAGAACATGGTTGACCCTCCGAACATCTTTAAGTGATTCAGAAAGGATGCACTTCGTATCTGGCTTCAAATCCACTCAGGCGCCTCTTCTCTTGAACATTGATAGCATGTTCATCACACGTGTGGAGCAAGTCGTCATGCTCTGAGAACCGAACAAAAGGAGTGCGCACCTGGGCATTTCACTACTCATACTTACTACTTGTAGTAGGACGGCAGCCACTGCGAGACAAATGCTGTTGCGCAATGCAGCACGTTTCTTCATTATTTCGTTTACTCTTGACATCCCAATGCAAGCTCCTCAAGTGAGCAGTGAGCACTCGGGTGTCAGGCCGGGTAATGCCACTGAGGTCATGGCGACGACAGGACTCTCGCTCCATGCCCATGCATACTCGCAGGGGATGCATTGCACAGCCTCCACGCCACGAGGTCTCTCTTCAGTCTCTTCGAGCTTGGACTTCCCTCGTAAAATACTTGAAGCCGGTGCAAAGTTGGCGGAAAAACACGAAACGTGAGGACCTCCGAGTAGGATGATCAGAAAGGGGGTTGAGTTCGAGCGAGACAACATGACATGGTGTCATGGCGTGTCAGATTGCGGAAGGCAAGACAAGCTGACGTGCGTTGAGGACTCAATTTGCATGGGCTGTCATGGGCTTGGTTAAGCAACTTGCTTACTATTTTACAAACCTCCACAACTGCTGCAGCATGGCACCTCGATGCGGATGAAGGTCCCGTATGGCCAAGTTGTATTCACGTGCTCCTTCCACACTGTAGCTGCCATGTACAAGGGATCGGCTGCGACATGCCCCGTTGCATCACAAGTATTCGCGCCTTCTGAGGCACCATCAAGTGATCGGGCCCGTGGAGCCTCCGCTCTTCTACGATGTGGGACACCTGACTGGGCGACACTGTGCTGGAGCCAGATGTGCTCCTGAATGCTCCTGACATCTCCTGACCACCAGTGCAGTGCCAAGCTTGTATGCAAGCAACGGGCCTGATGGTCGACCAGAAGTACGCGAGACTCGCGCATGGCTGCCGTGACACCCACACCTAGCAATGTAGAGCATAATGGACTACCGTTATGAAATCGGGCCAGCCAATCATTGGGGCCCTGAGAAACCATTATTTCTACCTCACATTTACTTCTTGGTTATCCTCCGGATCATCCTCCCTGGTTTTGTTGTCCTGGGGATCATCATCTTTTTTATTCTCCGCCTTATGCTCCTGATCATCCTCGCTGGTTTAGTTTTCCTCCGAGCGTTGTTTTTGTTTTTCCGCTTGTTTATCCTCCTGATTATCCTCCTGGTCATCCTCTTGGTTTTTGTTTTCCTCGGAAATATAGCTTTTTTTACCTCCTCTTTATCCTCCGGTCATCCTCACTGTTTTGTTGTTTGCCTCCGAATCCTAGCAGATTTTGTTGCTTCATCTTTTTCTTGTTTTTAGAACCTTCCTCACTTCTTTATAGTCGCCATCCTCCTCCTACTTTCTTCTGCTTTGCTTTCCTTCCTGACTGCGCTCCAGCCGTGAGGGGGGGAGACGGAGGGAGGGAGGGAGGGAGGGAAGCAGGGGGTAGCGGACAGAGAGCGAGAGCGAAAGAGAGAGAGTGGGCTAATTAGTACAAATACACGTGTGTGTGTGTGAGAGAGAGATTCGTGTGGAAAAGCAACTAGAGGTGGTATAGGCTGTACTGGGGCAACATGGGGCAACATGCTCGTTGCTGGCTGTCGGGGGCGGCGTGCCATCTTTGCCTCATGTGCGAAACACAAAGCCACCGGGATTTGAAATACGCACCTTTGTACACAAGTATCTCAAATGTTCGAGGTGTGCAGTGCCAGCATGCTGGAGAGAACTTTGTCCCTATGTACGGCGGATGGCTAGTAAAGCTAGGATGCTTTACTGCAAATTGCGCATGAGGATCTCCAAGCGTAGCTTGCAGGTTTCCATGCATGGCAAAAGCCAGCTGATCGGGGCAATGACAATAATGGCAAAATCTGCAGGCATGCTTCTGAAACATGCGCGACGGAAGTATGTGTTGAAGCTCCAAGATGGATGTGTCATTGTGAAAACCCCACGACATGGCTATATTTCAGACCTCCCCGCACAAACCCCAATCCCCAAACTACACACATGCAGCGACACATGTACACACATCATACACGCATACCTACCTCCTACCTGTCCTACCTACCTGTCCTACCTACCTACCTACCTACCTACCTACCTACCTACCTACCTGCATCCATACATACATACAGACGCAGACAGACAGACCCACGGACAAACAGACCGACAGAGCAACAGCTGGACAGACAGCCAGCCAGCCAGTCAGCCCGGCAGGCAGACACGCAGACATACGGAGCAGGAGCGCAGGTCAGAGAAGCCGAAGCAGTGCCTCCAGGAACAGGGACGGCATGCAGGTGGTGACCGTGCCATCCACATCTACATCACAAACGGTGGCGACCACTGGGGGCAAGAGTGGGGGGGGGGGGGGAACAGGCCTGTTCCTGATCATCAGTAGCAGCCGGAATCTGCCGACAAACGCTTGTGACAATATGCTTTTGCTTTTATGCTTTCTGATACAGAAGCTGTAATGGATCTATTTGTGGGGAATGCGCCAGCACCTGTTTGACGAGCTGTGCTTGGGAATGTGCAGCTGTGCTGGTTGACGTGCTGTCGGGTGTCGCCTGATTGCGCCGATATTGGTTCGAACCAACCTGCACCAAAAAACGTGCTGAGCTGTGAAGCAACTTTATAACCTATTCCGAGATCCTACTGTTAGTGTACAGAGTTTTGCCGAAACATTTTCTAAACGATTTTGGTGGTTCCGATACCTCTTGTTGAAGGATTCAGGGGGCGCCTTCCTAAAGGCTTTCCGGGCCTAGGAATACGCCCTCCTAAAGGGTGTGCGGCTGCTTCTAAAAGGTTTTTTGGGTTGCCTCCAAAGCACATCAGCACATTCCTAAAGTGTTGTTTTGGTGGCTCCGATGCTGTTTTGGGCTCAACTGGACCTCTTGGTACAGTGCCGGCCACTGATCACTTGATTCCTTGTGGCAGGTATAGCGGGTCCCTCCCAAGCCATCTGAGAACATGGCCAATGTGACATGGTGTCACAGTTTTGCAGCGTCCCCAAGTAGTTTTTGAGGGTTGGGGTTGAAGCTTCAGCTTGATGCCCCAACCACGCAGCGAGTGGAGCAAAGCCAAAACGGCCTCCGGGCAGCACAGGTTTGAACAAAAACACCTCTAAAGACTCCAAAGGCATCCATTTGTTGAAACAGCGCGTCTCACGGCCATTGTCAGCTAGGTCATGAAGGCTTTTCGAATCTGTGTTCAATATCATTCGTCCGTTTCCCTGCCTTGAACGCTGAAAGGTAATGCCTTCCAGGTTTTACTCCCGAAAGACTAGTCTCGAAAAAACTGCCCGGGTCACTTTCACAACTTGAAAACCGGGCTACGAAAGCTAGAGCAAACGACTGCAAAGAGCAGGTTGCAGCTTTTTCGCTGCGACTGCTGGGGTGGCAGCACCTGTGCGGAAGCTTAGCTGATTGTGGGTGGTCAAGGTGCGCAGGGGATGTCTCGCGAGGTTTGTTGGGTAGCAAGAATGTAAGTTTGTTTGCATGCTCTCTGCGGGTTTGACAGGAAAGTACGCCACCTTTAAGATGAAATTGTAGGTTATTTCGTGCTTGCCGGTTTGCGAGGCTGGCATCTCAAGTCTCGAGGGCCTTATGTTTCTGATTTATGATGATAAGGGTCTGGAAGTCCATAGGATTAATCCGGTATTTTTTGGTTTTATTGTGTTGGTTATTATGATATTCAGTATTTCATGATTTTGGGTGTTTTGTATGGGATGTGACGTGTGTATATTTGCAAGGAATCGCAGATTTTAGTGTTTTTGTGTAGTACTTATGCTGATTTTGTATTTCCCCTTAGGGCTGTCGCATTAAAGCCAAAAACATCTCGACCTTGAAGACTGCTGTGATTTGCTGGTTATGTTAGTCTGTGGTGTCAAGTGTTTGATAGCTTCGGGGTCCGGGGGGGCACGGCGCGGCAGCAGAACTCAGGCAATCCATGCAGGCTTGTTTGCAATGTTGCAGATATTTGTTGCATATGTTCGCTTGTTGAAGCTTTTCTGATGGGTGTGGAGTCTCGAACCTAGCTTCCACGCGCTTGTCAGCTGCAGCTCTTAAAGTGACGTGGCACCTGCGCCATCATGCAAATCTAATCTGTCTTGTGGCGAAAGGGGGGCACGGCGACACAAATCCATGCAGGTTTGCTTGCAATGTTGCAGATACTTGTTCCATTAAGTTAGCTTCTTAAAGCTTTCTTGATGAGCTTGGTCTCGAACCTAGCCTCTTAGGTGCGCACGCTGCAATGCTTCCACGCGCTTGTCGGCTGCAGCTCTGAAAAGAAGCGGCAACTGCGCCGGCATGCAAATGTAATCTGTTCTGATGGCACCTCCTGGTAAGAAGCGGCGGGGGGGCACCATATGGTGGGTGGGGGGCCCACCTTGTTCAATGTTGCAGGGACCTTGTGGTGGGGGGGCGCCGTCCTTAGTTGTTGTGAAACAATCATTGCCGTGGTGGCGCCAGGGGGGCGCCCCCTCCCCCCTTTAACTATTGAAAACGCACCAGATAAGGTCGCGTGCGCTTCTGACTTAGATCTCTCTTACCTAAGTGAATGGTAAATGACAACTCCCGCAAGCTCCACAGACATGGCTTTCGTGATCACAGTTCTCAGTAATCCCTGGCCGTACCGAACCCGCCAAACAAGCCATACGTTCGAAACCCTCACCTTAGGGTGCACTAAGCCACGCCCGTAAACAGAAAGACCGGAGCGGATCAGACACCAACATAGGTTTGAAACTCCAGGAAATTCCCGATTTGCTGCCGCTTCCATCTGTGCTTGTCGCAGCAACAGCGATACGAAGGTCTCCGTCGACGCCTCAAGACGGCCCGCAGAGAGCCGAAGCCGAAGCTGGGGAGCGCACCGAGCCAGATCACTTGGATGGTCCGAGTGAGGCAGCTCACGGCTCGCCAGGGCAAGCGCACGGGCTTGTAGAGCTCCTCACACTCCCCGCGGGCTTTTGCATCTCTCAGCTCTCCACCACAAGCCCTTCGGTCTTAAGTCGCGTCCTTGGTCTCCCGGGCAGTGAAGGCCCCATTGATCGCAGAAGCCCGTGGCGTACTGTCCGGCTGCGCTGCATCTGCATCTGCAGCAGGCATATGTGTGATCACAGTGACGACTTACTACTCTTTCTGCAACACACGCAGGCCACAGCTATGCGATGTGTGCGCCTGCTATGTCCTTTTTGGCCCCATGTGGTACTTCTGTAGGAGCTTGAGACATCCTCGATCTCGCACACTCTCGAGAACACTCCCTAAGACCCAAGCCTCTCCTTCATTTTATTACGGATCATGATCTCTGCCTGGAAAAAACCATGAGTCGAGCCTTATTTTCGGTGATGTCAACGCTGTGGCTCAGGCTTAGGATCGCTTTTTCTAGCAGTCAAAGCGGAGTGTTGTTTCCGGTCGTGGCATCGGAGCCTCGGGCCTCGGTGAAATGGAATGGTCGCTGTTGGCACGAGTTCCGGACTACGATTGCAAAGGGGAACTCGCAAAGTGATCAGGGATACACGCGCTTTCTCGAGCCTTCCAGTAGATCTCTAGACATGCTTCATGCTGCACCGACACGGATTGAAACCTTTCCGGTCGTGCCTTCCATGGATTCGGAATGCAACAGAAATTCTGTCACAGGACGAATAGGATCGTACTTTGGTGTACTTTGCCGGGGTTTAGGGCTCAGGGTAAAAAGCGAGACAACTCAAAACAAAATTCAGGAATAGTCTGAATAGACCAGAACTAGCTACCCTTAGGGAAAGCACAGCACAAAGACAACAACACAGCCCGATCACACAACCCAGTCATGGGATTAAAAGACGAGCGGGAGAGCTGCGACTGCGGATACGAGGCGGAAGCCTGTTCCGCTTCCCTGAAAACTCGCATGCTGCCCAAAATGTCCTGCGGATGTCGTCCATAAGATGCTGGAAGTCTCGCACAGTTTCGGCTGCATCTTCCAGAGTCAACACGCGCGCCGACCCTGAGCCGACTGCGATGCAAGTCTCGCGGGTGCAGCAGGCACGGTTCAAGTCTGGAAGGAAAAGTCCTTGCGAATCCCCGCCAGCCTGGGAGATCGTACAGGAGCTTGTAATTTCCATTTGCCAGGGTGCTTTCCTGAAAGCACCAGGGCACGGCTTGGCCACGTCCATGCAGGCTACAGCGGCTACAGAAACTCAACCTTGCACCAAGTCTCAATATCCCAGTGGTACTCTGTGGGCAGTCCGGCCGAGTTGATGTAATGGAAGGGGCCCAGGACAGTGCCTGGCAGGCACTGGCTGCAGTGGCGCTACCTGCAGAAATGAAAGGAACCTGTGCATCCTGCCTGCACAGTGCTCGAGCCGAATCTCGGCGTCCGACAGCTCGGGCCACTCGCGCATGCGAGTCATCTGCAGGGTTGATGCGAGTCGCGGATCCCTGACCCCATAGCGACGAAAGCAGGAGCCTTGACTTCCAGGTCACAGTCGTGTAGAAGCTCCTGCAAGCCAGCCTCAGCATGATCCAGTGAAATTCCTGCAGTGTTACATTCGTTGAAGACATGGTCCTAGCAGCGCCATCGTAGCTGACACGTGCTAACACAAGATGGTCCGAGCCGGGAGTCCATTTCAAGTCGCAAGTAATCGCCGAGCTTCTCCAGTTCCTTTCTCCTCCATCGTAAGAGACTCTTGGCTGTCCCACGAAATACCAGTAGCACGCACTAAACACTTAACTTAACTAGCCACCAAGACAAGTCTCTGCCGGAAAGTAAGCCACATGCCAGGGACTTCCTCCCAACGGCGCAAAGCTGCTTGGGCACGCCGGAGTGCGTCTTGAACGATTTGAACCTGGCACGTTGCAACCTTTATTGCTTTTCCAAGCACACGCATGGCCCCTCCCGGTGTGCCTTCTCAACCAAAGCCAAGGTGTTTACGGCAGAGAGCACTGTGCCCTTCTTTGCCATGGCTATCTCTGCAGGATCTTCTGCTTCTCCAAACACGTCCTTGGAATGATCGCTCGTTTACAGAGTTCGGCCCTTCTGAGGAGTTCATCGATTATGGTTGCTTCTGCTCAGGGTGGAGCCTGCTGTACACTGCCACTACACAACCTTCGCCCTCGCTCTTCTCAATGTCCAAGCACGTCTGCCGTCTGCTCTGGAGGTGCTTTCTCTCTGCGCCACGAGCTAGATGTGGCTGGCAGCTAGCAGTCGCTCTCCGTCCGATTGGCATACACTGCACAGCCAACCCGCCGAGCCTGCCACGTAAGTTTGCACATGCTCTGCTAGCTACTGCACAAACAACAACAGCAGCAGCAACAACAACAACACCACCAACACCACCAACAACAGTAGCACCACCGCATCTACCACCACCAACAACAACAACAGCACCAACCGCCGCAGCAGCAGCGGCGGCGGCTGCGGCAGCAGCAGCAGTGACAGCGACGGCGGCAGCAGCCACCACCACCACCACCGCCGCCGCCGCCGCCGCCGCCGCCGCCACCGCCCCCACCACCCCCACCACCCCAGCAGCAGCAGCAGCAGCAGCAGCACCAGCACCAGCAACAGCAACAGCATAGGTAACGAAGCCAAGCTTCCATAAACAGAACTGCTCGGAAGTGCCGAGGAATGCTGGACTCGCCCGACACTGGCGATGCCACCCAGTGCAGGAGCTCAAACCAAGCAATCTCCTTGTGAGGCATCAGCTCCAAGTCGCACCGCTGCTTAAAACAGCAAAGCCAGGTTACCTTCTCCTGGCCGAGGCTCGAGTGGATAGATCGCAATGGAGATCATGTATGCATTGTGTGGGACGAGCTCTCCGTCTTCCCGTTCTGCAAGCGTCAGCGACACGCATGCGGCGATGGCCGGCAGGAAACCGATGAAGGACAAATCCAGTCCCCTGCATCACGGGGAAAGCTGCTGATGCGTATCAGTCTGAAGAACACAACGACTTAGATTTTCACCAACAGCTTTTCAAACTTTCGAGTTATGTCACATCTTTCATCGTCAAAGAAATAGTGGCTCGGATGCTAACCGTTTGAACTTACACATGTCAGAGAGGGTTCTCATCTGTCCATCTTGATTTATGCGGCCTGTTGATCCTACCGCAATGTCGTCGCTTTAGGCAGTCGTGCGAGTGACTGCTGTTGATGACATGGCCCATCGACCAGACCACTCCATGTGCTGCTATGAGCACTCATGGAATCTGCAACATTCTGCAGTGTGCAACGTTGTGCAAACTTGAAAGTCAGGCGGTCCCGAGGCATGGCAGGCCGTGGACATCGAGGATCGTCATGTTGCAAGCGAGGGCCTAGCCAGACGAGAAACCAAAGGCAAGCGCTTCGCACAGTTCGCCGTGACTGAAGCTTTTCATCGGCTTCCTGGAACACAGCAGTCAGCATGTAGCCCACCATGGGATTGTACGTCTGCACCATGCCTGAACAGTCTACGAACTGGAAAGACTGAAGTGATGATGTCTGAGTATGCTGGCATCCGTCAAAATATCTTGTCTTAGCGCAATTTGCATCCCAAGACCTGGTTTCTGCCCAGTGGCAAAGCCCCAACAAGTAGTAGTTGATCGACTGCAGCATGTGGCGCACCTAAGATTGTGACTTCAGAAGTGGTTAAAATAATCCATCATGTCAAATAATTATGTTTATGCTTTGTTTATGATTCGGATATGGTTCGCATTTATGAAAAATATGATATACTTTAACTATGACTCTACTATGATTTTACTATGCTTGGATCTATGGAATCATTATGAACAAATATACTCGAAACTATGAGAACTTTATGGAAAATGTTATGAAAAAATATGGCTTTCCGAATAACTAAGGAACCGCGATCAAATTGTAATGGGAAAGGAATGACGGTGCGGCACGGTTTCATTAAAATTATTAACTTGGGGAGATAAATTGGGAGTCAGAGGGAAATCGTAGTGAACTCATAGTGGAATCACAGTCTGCCAGGAGCCACTTTCCAGCCTCATAAATGGCCAACCATATTGAAACCAAATCGAAATCATAAAACATACTTACTTCATTAAAAGAATTTTGGCCAACACCTAAAGTCACAAACCTAAGAGTTGATCGGTCACGAACCAATGAGCCCGCCTGCTGCCACCTTTGTGCAACAGAGGCACACCCAAGGACATGCAAACTCGGGAATATGCGTCAAAGCATTGCCACCTCGCACCGGCGGCGCAACAGATGCAGAGACTTCCGGTCATACATGTTATACAGCTGAAATTGATGCGTAATGGCGTTGCCTGCCTGGCTTGGAGCTGTCGGAAGAGCTGAACGTGTCGCCTCGTGCGGAACTCCACGGCATGCAGCAGCTCCTGCTTGAGATGCGGCTGTTGATACCGACGAATCGCAGTTTCGGCTTCTAGCATCTTCTCGCTCCTCGTTGCCGAGCATATTGTGCTCGCCACCATAGGCAAACTCACCATCCCTTAGGACAGGGCATACCAGGGTGGCTCGTTGCAGCTCTCAAAAGCAAAACTCCAAAGAATTCTCCAAGAGTCTCAAGCTCATCCCCTGTAGGCTTGGGGACATTGGCGGCTCGGTCCTCTGCAGAAGCCGCACCCTGGCAGGCTGACAGAACCGCAAGAGAGAGAAGCCGCAGTGCCATGAAGTTTCTCATGGCAGGCCTGAGGCGGAACCTCCACTGTCGCGCGCTCCTTCCAAGTATTTCTTCCTGCGACCATTCACATTCCGAGCACCTTCATGCGGATCCGCATCCCTTGCACAATCCGTGGTCCTGAATGCAGGAAGGGAACGCGAAGCAGCTGAGTTGCTTGCATCTCGCAGTCAGAGAGGCGCGCATTCAGCAGGTCTAGCTGGTCACATCCGGGGATGGGCAGCCGAACAAACCTGACAGACCGCCAAGTCGCCAAGGCATGCAAGATGCTGGCTGAGGATGTTGGGAAAATGCCCCCACCTGGTAAGTAAGCGGGTTGCGTAGCTGTGCGACTTGATCGAGGCATGCATAGACAGCCAGATTGCCATCAGCAGGTACACTAATGAGCAGGCCTGATCAGGGACAACGGTCTCAGTCTTTCCCAGTACTGTTCCACTAAGCTGGATGCCGATTGGTCAACCGTGGCCTGTGATAGATAATAAGCTACTTGAAGAAAGACCGGAGGAGCTTCCTCAAAGAAGCCTTCCGAGTAGTAGATACTGATCATGCGAATGAAGAGCGCGCCTTGCAGCACCAGCATACAGGCGGCTTTCGACGCCACAGTTGCTGCTCGCTTGTATGTTCTAACAATTTCAACATAGGAGCCTTTCAAGCTTCAAACAAGCCGTTACTCATGTTGCTGCTGAAAGTCCAACCATGTGATAGAGGTCCATTTTTCCTACTGTCAGCTCCACCAGGTCGCGAATGTCCTGGCGGAAGAGGCGGAAACGCTCCACCTGCATCTTGAGTCGAAGCTCATCGCCTTGGCCGCGTGCACCATGTCGCAACATGTAACGTCTCTGAAACCGACCGTCTCTTTTGGCCGACAAGGGTCGTCGGAAGCGTTGGTCTTGGTCGAAGGCGAAGTTTTGCCGGTTGTATCTGAAGATCTCGCCGGCAACTAGGCCAACACCAAGAAAGACCTGCAAGCTCATTTCAGCCTCTTTTCGTGATGCGGGGTTTGAGCAGACATCTCAAGGGCACCGGAACCTCCATCGATTCTCAGCAGGCGCTGTCTGACGGCGGCTGCCCTTCTTGGGCTGCACGCCGCTGACGCCGCGCTTCTCTTCCACGGCACGACGAGTGCCAATTCAAGCGAGGCTTCCATCGCCGGCGAAGTCTTCTACGCACACGTGCAACATCCTGAAGTCAGACTCTAAGTTTGTGAAGTTTCTTGCCATTTCGTGCATTATATACCGAACTACTTAATTAGCTCACAGCGTGGCCCAAGACTTAATCTGCTGGCTGCAACTTCTCCGATACACCGAATGAACCAATTACAATCAACTACTGCATTTACTACAGGTGCTTGCGGCAGCCAGAACCGCTGCACGAAGCGCCACATCGCATGCTCTGGCAATTTTGTGCATGATAACGGCGACAAAGGAGCGAAGCATGAAGAGCACACTCTTCAGGCCAACATAACGATCTACGACGAGTCTACGACGTCGACAACACGCAACTCACTTTGGAGTCGCCTGACAAGCCGTCGGTTTCATGATCTCCGAGCGCTCGGAGTGTGCAGCTTTTCACGGGACTCATGCCCTGGCTTCTCGGGCTGTCACTGGACGCACTGGATGACAAGCAACCTAAGCTGGCAGCTGAGAACAGCCACTGCTGGTACTAGTACATCGGGAGTGAACGCTTCCTTAACCACAGGACTTCCCTGGACAGACTGAGGCGGACACGAAGTCACACATCTGCTGCGCAACATCATCCTCCGGATGGCACTCCGTAACACTGCCAAAATGTCCCCAAGCGCCGGCCTCAAGCATGGCTAGGGGCCGCTGGCCTTCGCGGGTCAACTGCAAGATCTTCGCATGCTACATCATGCTACTAGTGCAGCACGTCGCTCTCCTTTAGAGCGAGCCCGATGGACGATTGCCAAGCGAAGCCTTGCCACCAGTGGTGCGGAGTGCAATCACATTGACATGAACGATTCATCAAAGGCCCAGCGGGTGCCTGTTCAACTGCCACTGAAGTTTTGACAGGCAGGCGCGAGCAGACTCAGCAGAAAGCTCAATGTCCTGCTGGAACTGCCGCCCATTCACGGAGATGAAAGGCAAGTCAACTCTAGTCTGCTTTCGTCGTGCCTGAGGCAGCGCTCGGATATCAACCTAAGTGCGGCTCTTGACCGTGCTCTGCAGGCTCAGGCACATTGTATCCAACTTACTAGAAGTCCAAGTCCACAGCGTTTGAATCGTTGGACAACAGAACCACGATTGATGGTTCGACCTCGAGGTGAAGTTTGTCGCGTCAGGTCCGTCAGGGCCGAGGATTGCCCAAGACGAACATTGCAGCAAAATGAAGCCGCAGTACCGTGGCATCACAGACAGAAGGACTGACCGAAGGGCTGTTTTGGCCGCGACATAGCCTCCATTGCCATCGCTTCTCAAGGGTCCTAGGAAAAAGAAGAGAGCCAGGCAGTGCAGAACGGCTCTTTGCCAGTCAGTCTCTTGCATGCGAGGCACGCAGACCGACGAAGTCCACCTCCAGCCGCACGGTCGGCATCCGGGCCGGCATCCCACGAACGCGAGAAAGTCTCGCCTCGCTCAAGAGCTGTGCCCACAGAACCTGAGCCAGCCGTTCGCCGTGGAGGAGCCGCACATTTCAGCGGCCGGGCCTTTGGCAGCAGAGGGTCGGCCAACCGACGCCGGACAATCGGACCTCGAGTCTGACAGGAATCGGGCAGGAAACGGTCTGGACATGTTTGGCCAAAGCTCCGCCAAGCTCTGTCTGCTGGAGATCTCGGAGGGAGCGCATGGCATCAACATCTTCCGACACACCGGAACGCAGCTGTTCCAGCACCTACCACAAAGAAAGACAAGTTAGAGTGCCATAATGCCAAAATGCCAATGGGACTGTCTCGCATGCACACTCCGACCTCCTGCAATGGTGTTCCATGCTGCAGAGCTGGGAAGCACTGTACGGCCTGTGGCTACTAGTTGTGGCAAGCTTCCAGGCAATTCCAGCACAAATTTCAACAGTATTCCAGCCTTCTCTAGAAAAGCGTCTCCAGAAAAACGCGGCAAAACCAATTCTGGCAGCCCTGCCGTCCAGCCACATTTCAGGTGCCTCCGCAAACCAGCATCTCAAGCTTGATACAGGCGGCTTGGATCAACAACTGCGCTGCAATGCCTCTCGTCATCGTCAGCGAGGAATGCCAGAACCCAGCCACGATCCGGCCAGTTGCAACCACAAAGCACCTCCACAAACGCACGAGTGTTCTTTTGGCTTGGCCCTGCATGCGATTTTGCCTCAGACTGGCCATTGCAAAAGTGCCGGATGTGCCCTTTGGGGTACTGCTCAGGGACCTAAGCTCGTCGTGCAGTTGCGACCGATCGCGACAGCGCAAAACTGTGTGCTAGCTGTGCTAGATTGTGCTAGCATTGGACACGTGCCACACGCTGTGCCACTATCTCGCGGACAGGCGGAGCAAGTCCAATCTGGAACCGGCCGACCCGACCATAAACGGCACCATCGAAGCAGCAAAAGGATGCAGGAAGATACAGCACTACTTATGAAGTGTGAGCATTTTTGAACAGTGAAGAAGTGTGCCTTTGACAAGCAAGCAAGTAGTATCTGCTGCGCCCCTTTACCTCCCGCATCCTCCACTGCACAGAAATCAGAATACGGAGCTTTCCCTGCAAAGGCTCGGATGTCCATCCACACTGAAGCATGCCATGTGCAAGCGCTTGAATCTCCTCAGGGCACATTGTCACATGCCCGAAAGGCGAGAGATCCGCTAACAAAAAAGATCGCTCGTAGGGCATGCCATGGCCGATGGCTAACATCAAAGAGGAACCTTGTGGTAGAGCGGTGCCTGCACGAGGCACCCAGCTGCAATCAATTCCGTGAAGGAGGCACGGAGCAAGAGCTAGTCGTTTTGAGGGGATCCTTTGCACCGCATGCCGGCTAGTCGGACGCCTTTGTTTCGTCCAACTTCCAGTACTGGGCGTAGTGGAGGTGGTGGGTGTCCGGTTCCTCCCAAGCGCATGACACCTGCCAGGGCGGTGCAGCTTCACACGGCTTATTTGAGGCGCATCTTGCCGCAATGAAACGCCGGAAGTGTCAGGAGCTGCAAGTGCGCTCGCTCTTGATCCAACCCCGCCGCTACCAACTGCTCGGCATAGCCCTGCACACCGTAGCTGCTGCCGTGTGCCTCCAGTAGATATACATGGTCAAAACAGTGGAACTCTTGCAGCTGGAAGTCATGTTCCAACAGACCTGCTGCCACAATCCTGTCAATCTCACAACGAAGCCAACGTCTCCAGGTGCGCAGCGGTAGTCCTCGCACCGCTAACACCATGTCGCAGCGGATCATGCGGTACTGCAAGCAGAATTGAGGCGCCTAATTGCGAACGTCCTCGTAGTTGGGCATGAAAAGGAATCGCGGATCCGAGGCCATGCGGTTGCACATCAGCTGGTAGCGAGGTTCGAACAAATTCAGACCTGCAATCCCGAGACCATGCACATCATCAATTGCCGTCAGTTGGTGTCAACACAGTAGCTGTGTTTTCAAGCGACCTATCGTGTCACCAATGTTGCTCAACAGCAGATCGTTGAAATAGAACACCGGCAGCACGTCTGGCTCCATGGCTGGGAGATGCTGTCGAAACCAGAATTTTGTGCCACTGACAAGCTGAACGTCTACGTTTCACCAACACGTGCGGCCGCAGCCCAAACTTGCGACTCATATTCAAAACTACAGGTGCAACTCCCAAACTTTAAAGCGTGAGTACGACATGAAAGCAGCATGGTGCGGAAATTGAGTGAGGTCTTGGGGCTCCAAAAGTATTTTGTTGACCGTTGGTGAGCAGAGACTGCTGTAACAAAGAGCTCTTGAGCATCTCACTAGCGCACAAACGATGGCAGAGGGCTTTGCGTCTTTCGACCTGCGACTGCAGTTCCCTTGAGAGCGAGAGAGCGAGAGGAGACGCGGAGGGAAGACTGGGAACCCAAGCCTCGTCTACTTGCGACTCGTGGAGACAAAGCAATGTGGTTGTATCAGTCGTCAGCACGAACAGGTCAAGTTGTCACCAGGTCTTCTTAACTGTCAAGGAATCACGATCGCGATGGTGTTGCCAGGCATGTGCCAAATCGGCCGATTGCAGCGAGTTGTTTCGGCGAATTCACGTCCTTTTGACGAGAAGAGCCTCCGACACCCATGGAGCTTGGCAAAAACAAATCCCTTGAACAATAATTTGACAGGTGAAGTGCGCATCATTTACCTGCCTGGCTTTACCTAACTCGGCAATGGCAAAGCCGTCTCATCCCTATCTCAGACATGGAAAACCTTATCGAAATCACTCCATGGCAACAGCGCGAGGGGAACAGAACTGGCGAGGTGCTCCAAGCATCCCACATGCAACCTCAACCGCATCATAGGAAGCGGAGCTCGCATCAACACAGACATCCCATCACATCCAACATCCAACCGCAGCAGCAACTCAGCAAAGGAGAGAGTGGGCGTTGGGAGGAGCGGGGGAAGGAGGGTTTGGCTTTGGTTGAGAAAGTTGAATCAATTCATGCGGGTTTCGGCCGGCACACATAGGATGGCTTTCGTGATATTGTGCAATTCTGTGCAATTATGCAAGCACACCACAAACATAATTCCAGGGATTCCAAACAGCATTTCTTAATTCTTGAAGCAAGGCCACTAGTGAAGACTCCGATTCTGTACATGCTCAACAAAGCGGTGGTGCCGCAAAGCCCGATTGATCTGTCGCGGCTATAGTATACACTTTTCGACGCTGGCGATCCACTACATTCAAAGTTCAAAGGCCCCAAGACGACGATACATGCAGAATCGAAGCGCGAGACTCACGATCACAACAAGCTACCAGGAGACACACTTCAGAACGGCCTGGATTAAAGCAGCACAGCGAAGAGAACCAACAGGCAGCCCGAAGTTTTTTCGACTTGCACCATCAATTCGGAATGGACACCCAGTTTCCGTGGCTGTCCAACACGTTCTTGTGACCTCAGTGGGATGC